CGTGTATTTTTTATCAAAATAATTACTAAATTATACTTGACTTGTATTATTTATATTACAACGAACAAAATAATCATTTTAGGCTAGATCAAGTAAAATTTTTGTTTCGTAACTTACCTATGAATTAGAGGAAGTAAAGGAGGAAAGACTTGTCTTTGCGGTTTTTTTTAGGTATTTTTTTTTTTTTGTAGAATGATAAACTATTAATTTTAATGTTTATTTCAACTTAAGTTTTTCTTCCTCATTTTCTTTATGTTAATTTTTTTCTAATCTATAAAGTAAAAAGGTAAATTAATTATCAAAATTTAATAATTATACTAGTATCAATATAGATAAGTCTAGAAATATAAGAAAGAAAATCTCAAAAAATGACACATAAAAAAATAAAAATAAAATTTAAAAAAATTAAAATGACAAAATTACCCCTTGTCCTAACTCACATGTGTTGCACATGAAAAATAGAGTTTTAAAATAAATAATTATTTTCTTAAAGGCCATATAGTATATTTTGATGGTTATGAAAAGTAGCAAAGAGAAATAAATTGAAATAAAAAAATTGAATAAAAATGCACTATTTTGTTATTTTTATATTTTTTAGGGTTCTTTTTATAATTTTTTGAAACTATCAGGGTATTTTTCGTTAAAAAATAACAAAAATTCGTTAAGTTTAATGAAAATTGAGCCAATTGGGCAGAATTGACAAAAATTTCAAACAGTAGGGGTAAAATTAGCTAACCAAAAAATAATGAGGTAGAATTGACGATGAGCCAAAACTTTGGGTATGAATGCCATTTTTTCCGCTAGAGAGATGAAGTGTTTTTATAGGTTTCGAAAAAAATCCAATCAAGTGTAAGAGTAGGCGAAAGAATTACAATCATATAATTAGATTTAAATGATGTGTGATGATTAAAGTAAAGATAAATGAGAGAAACGAAAGGATAATAATAATAAATTAAATTTAGGGAGTGTTTGGTTGATGGGTTTTGGTATGAGGGAATGGAATGATTTTAAATTTTTATGTTTTGTTGGCGGATTTTGATTTAGAGGGAATGGATCGATACCGTATTATTTAGGAATCATCTTAATCCTCCAGAGGAGTTGGGTTTTGATTTGATTCCCAATTTTAATTCTTTTTTATTTTCTCATCTTTTATAATATTTCACAATGCACCAAGTTTTTATTAAACTTTTATGATAAAGTTTTTTTCTTAAATTATAAACTTCAACATTCAAACGGAATTTATAATCATATCAAAATTACAAATATGTTCAAATATGAATTCAAACTACATAGTTTATTGTTATTGAATTTCATATTTTGTTTAATGTATTATGTTTGAACTTAAACTTGAACTATTAAACATTGAACAAACTCAATTGCTTTAAGTAAAAATAATAATATAAGTTCTTAAAATTGAATTAACACAAATAATTATTGAGTTTTAAGAAATTCGATATTAAAGTTTTATATCTTAAATTTAATAAAATAATAGTTAACATAATTATGATATCTAAACCCGATTGATATGCCAAACAATATTTATATTGAAACCACAACCTCAATGTAAACATACCCATCTCCATAGTGAAACCCGTGACTGAACCAAACGCTACCTAAGGTAATTACAGTAGAGTCATATAAAACATATCCATTAATTGTAATTCAAGTACTTTCTACGTGAAAAAGAAATGTTGAAAAGAGGACTGGCACATATAAGGGATTACAAAAACCTCAAAAATATTGTCAATAATCTAAACTATGCACTAACATTAAGTGCATAAATACCGGAGGAAAAGTTTAAAAAATGAATAGGTGTGATCATTCTTTGTCATTTTCTCTTGTAATTTTTTTTTTTTTCATGTAGGTATCATTATTCTAATGTATATATGTTGATAAAAGGTATTACAATCATATAAGAAAGTCACTCTTAAGTGACGAACACATGATATCATGCCCCACGAGCAACAACATTCTATTTCAAGATTTCTCATCATTTGTCATGCGTGCATGTAATTAGCATTCCCCCCTTTCCAAATTTATTACCTATATCATCACTTTTGTTATTATTATTATTTTACTACTCTAGCGAAAATATCAAATCAACAAAAAAAATGTAATATCAAATCACAAATAAATATTTGTGTCAAGCATAACAACAACGAATGTACGACGTCGAAGTTAGTAGCGGTTTAAATCTTAATGGGTGATATATTTTTTTATAAGGGTTTTTTAAATTCATTATCAAATCAAATACAAATCAATTAAATTTCCAACTTGTCAAGATATTTTGTTGATTTGATGAGTTTTCATTAAAAACCTATATTTCACGGATCCACTTAAAAATTGCATATACAATAGAAATAGAGTTTTCGTTAAAAACCTATATTTCACGGATCCACTTAAAAATTGCATATACAATAGAAATACTACTGCCGTCCAAGAAAAATAGTCTAATTTAAAAACTAAAATATAAAAATTAGATTACTTAATCTTGCAAATTAAAAAATTTTTAATATGAAAAATAGAATAAAGTTTCATCACTGTTTATCAATTTAATCAATTGTAGATTATATCAATCTCAAAAATCTAAGTTTAAGATTTATATTTCTAAAGTTGGACTATTTTTTGGAGTAAAATTTATTATAGGAAAATTCTAGAATCCCGTCACTTATTTTGAGGGTTTGATCCCGTTAAAATCTAACCAATAGGAAAGTGGCACGTCAATATAATATTAAATTTTCCTAATTTTTAAATTTTTTTTGTGACCTGCTAAGCAGATAAACTTACCAAGATTTAAAAATTGAATAATTTAGGAAAGTTTCAATATTTAAAATAACAAAATCATCATTAATTAATAATTGAGTTTCCTTTTTTCATTATATGTGTTGCACGAATACTTATATATGATTGCACATTAGTTTGTAAAACATTGCACGTAATTCATTAATAATTAATTGAACCGTATTTTGTTCCTTTTATTTTTATGGTAAGTTAATAATAAATATCCAAGCATTGCACTTTTGATGATCTAATTGCACATTCAAGTAAAATATATTACACGTTCACTTTTAAACAATTGCATTATACTAAAACTTTCCATAATTCTTAATTAAACTTTCTTATTTTATTTTTACATTACAAAAAAATCTACCTGTGATTGGGCATTTGCTCATTAGAAATTGCATTTATATTTATACATAATTGCACATTGGATTAAAAAACATTGCACCAGTTCTTATATAAGTTTTATTTAGTAATTTTATTTTTTTATGTAGAATTTTCTTGTAAGCCTTACTAAGCTAGTATTAATGTATTATTTTGAATAACATAATTTTATTTGATAATTATTTAAAATTTTTTAACATAATAATATATTTTTGAACATGACATATTTGTATGTAAGTTATTTCACATATAATAAAATAGATTGTACATCTCATTAAAAAAAATTGCACTAGCTACTATATAAGCTATTTTTTGCACATCATCAACAATTAGAATTAATTTTAGTATAGTCATATATATATAAGAAATGTATATTTATCAAAAAAAAAAAGTATTGTACAGTACTGCATAACTAGGAATTGAATCTTTATTACAATGTATTGCACTCTCAACAAAAGAAGTTTTACAGTGTATATAAATATTAGTGTGCCCTTCGTTACAAAACATTGCACACTTAAATTTGACAATGGACAAATTCCATTTTAAATAAGCTGAAATTTACTACAGAAATTTGTGCCAATTACCTCTACCATTTACGTGTTAATGATAATGAAAATATTAAAAAATTTTAAACAAAAATAAAGTACATTGCTCACCTAAAGAAATTACATTGTTGGTAATTGCAAAAAAAAATTAAAAAAGATGTTCGCACCTTTTGATTTATTTTTGTTTAATTTTTATCTTTTAAATTTCTTAAATATTGTAGTATTTTCATTTATCTAAAATCAGTTCATCTTCTTCCATTTTCCCTTATTCCAAAATCTCTAAAAATTTCCTGGAAGCAAAGAAGAAAATAGATTGGTTTCGTAAACATCAAAAACAACAACTAACAAATTAAGGTACATTATTCATTAAAATAAAATAATCAATTTTCATCAATTTTTTTTTGGCAAGAATATGAAACTGCATTGGTACAAAAAAAAAAAAAAGAAAGAAAAAGTTCCACTAGCGAGAGAGAGGGAAAAAGAAAGATAGAGAGATATTAGGAGAAGATTTCTAATTAAATTATATATCTTCAATAGTTACAGGTTGTCTATAAAAATTTTCTTATTATTTTTTTCAATTAATGCAAATTCTATAGTTGTGATTAACTTAAATTGATCTAATGGCTATTAATCAAATAACAGAACTATACCCTCAAAATTGTGAACGAGACTATAGCTTTACTCTTTATTATATTAGTATTGTTAAATAATTAATGTACATTATTTAATTTGCGAGATTGAATTCATTAAATTCTTGTTTATTTTCTCTTGTTATAACATTTTCTTGCATGACAAGTAGTACGTATATAGTTTGTAATGGGCATCTTTTTGGGCATATACTTTGGCACGTGGGATCCAATTCACGTCACAAAACGGCTTAATATATACCGCACTGATAATCTTTTCCCCCTTGGATATTATTATTATTACTCTTATATAAAACATAAATAATATTAAATAGTAACACTTTGTGTTGTCCAACCAAAAATTTTATTAAAAGTTATTTAAGCTGAATCTCTTCTCTTTTAATCATTTTATTATTATATGTATCCTTTTTTTTTAATCTGAATTAATGGCAGCTTTTTCCTTTTTATTTTTGATATAAAGAATTAATGGAACTAAAAATAGGAAGCTAAAAAACCGAGACCGGTTGAATCCGGACCCGAACACCGGTTTTACTACAATACTGCGAACAAAATATTTGACGGTTCCGTCAACGGAAAAAAGGAATCACGTGACTTGGCCATTCAATTCGCTTTCGTGTATATAAACCAACCCTTCGTTTACAAATCAGCCCACACACAGTAGTACACAGACAAACATCGCTTATTGGTTTCTCCATTGTTCCAGAGTGAGTATTCACAAGGAGAAAAGTGCTTTGTTTCTCTGTTTAGTTATTTTATTTAATATAGCGCGATCTGTCTTGATCTGAGTTCTTCTCGGTTGAGATTTTTGTTGTTGCTTTTAATCTTTTTTTTTTTTAATTTTTTTTCCCTGCTGTTTTATTGATTGAAGATTTTTGAAGAAGAAGAAAGACAACTAGAAGATGGGCAGCTCCGGATTTTCGTGGAAATTGAATGATCACCCCAAGCTTCCGAAGGGGAAGGTTATTGCTATGGTTGTTCTGGACGGATGGGGTGAAGCCAAACCCGACAAATACAACTGCATCCATGTCGCAGACACCCCTGTCATGGATTCGCTCAAGAATGTAATGATTTCTTTGTTGTTATTAAGTTTCGATGTTTTCTATTAATGGGCTTTTTTCTAATTTTTTTTTTTAAATTTTTATTTCGGTTTATTACAGATATGATTTTTATGGTGTTTGTTGTAGGGCGCCCCTGAAAAGTGGAGGTTGGTGAAGGCTCACGGAAAAGCTGTGGGTTTGCCTACAGATGACGATATGGGGAACAGTGAGGTTGGTCACAATGCCCTTGGTGCCGGAAGGATCTATGCTCAAGGGTAAAACCAATTTAATTTAAAAATTTAGAATCTTTTTTTCCTTCTTTTTTTGTGTGATTATTCTTTTTGTTGCTTGAAAATTGTAAATATATTGTGCTATATTACGGACTATGAATGTTGTGCTATAGTACTGACTAAGAATAAGTTAACACTTGTTTTAACTAGGCTTTCTAAAGTTATGGATTTATTTGGAGCTTGGTTATAGTCTACTTGTTAAGTGATAGGAATGTTTTTTGGTTGTGAATTGAGTCAATTAATAATGTAAACCACCTGTGGATTCAAGCCAAGCAAGGTAGTCATGACTGTAATTTACTTGCTGATGTTTTGTTAAAGTAATGATTTCATTGGTTATAGCTAAGAAACTATTGAGGAAGCCCAATACAGATAGATAATGCGTTCCTATTATGTGATATTGGTGCAGAGATGGACTAGTTGATGGTTGCTTAACTTCCGTTGTTTTATTTTGTTGGTACATAAACATACTTTTGCATGTTAAGAGTCTTTTTTTCTCATGCCTTGATTGTTTGTCAAGTTGTACTAGTTGGTACTTCTGTTTTGCTTTTATTAACCTTGCCTGGAGGGAGTTAGTAAGCTGGGTAAAAGGGAATGCCTCTGTGCCTAAAAATAACTGAACCTTGCATGTCTGTGCAGTGCAAAGCTGGTTGACCTAGCTCTTGAGTCTGGAAAAATATATGATGGTGAAGGGTTCCAGTATATCAAGGAATCTTTTGAAACAGGCACATTGCACCTCATTGGGCTGTTGAGTGATGGTGGCGTGCACTCTAGACTTGACCAGCTGCAGGTATAATTTTCTGAATCTTGAATTCTGCTTCCTTTTGAGTTTATTGTCCTTTTAGACATGTTTGTGTCTCTTAAGCTTTGCTTGGTATGCTTATCATGACACTTCTTTGTATTAACCACTTCGCACTGCACTTTGCATGGGTTTTGTGTCGGAGATCGGTAGAGGCCCCGGTTAGGAGGGTAGAAACTATAGAATCAAGAATTCAAATTTAAAAGGTAGACCTAAGAAAACATGGAAAGAAACTATCAATAGTGATTTGAAATATTTAAATTTGACCGATGATTTATGCACCGATCGAGCACGATGGCGACATATGATCCATATAGCTGACCTCTCCTAGTGGGAAAAAAGGCTTCTTGTTGTTGTTGTTGTTGTTGTTGTAACCTCTTCTCTCTCCAAATGCTGACTGTATTTTTGTTTTGGGTTGCAGTTGTTGCTTAAAGGTGTTAGTGAGCGTGGAGCCAAGAGAATCCGAGTCCATGCTTTGACTGATGGTCGTGATGTGTTGGATGGTTCGAGTGTGGGGTTCATGGAAACACTTGAGAATGATCTTGCCAAATTGCGGGAGAAGGGTATAGATGCACAGGTTGCTTCTGGTGGAGGTCGTATGTATGTCACAATGGATCGTTATGAGGTACAAAGTAAACTGTGATGCATAGCAGTTTACTCTTATTTTGAATGGATCTCTATTGCTCTCTGTATCTAGCAAATGCACCGCTTGCTATGTTGACAGTTCATTGGTCTGCACACGGTGCTGATATTAAATAAACTGCTTATCAAATAGACTGAGATCATTATTTTCTCTCAGTTATTGTTTTGAAGCTTTACTTTCAGAATGTTAAGTGTTTATAAGATATGCTGCTAGGAATTGAAGATGAATATCTAGCTCTGAAGAAATATATGATTTTATAAATGCATGAAATGTGTGCAGTAATTGGATCAAATGTACCGTCTGGTTCCGATAAGCAATGATTAATACTTATATGTACTTGTTCACAGTTTCCAAGACGCACAATTTAGTATTTGCTTTGTTCTTTGAACTTAACTAGTTGGGTATTGATGTATATGCAGAATGACTGGGATGTTGTCAAGCGAGGTTGGGATGCTCAAGTTCTTGGTGAAGCTCCACACAAGTTTAGAAATCCCGTTGAGGCTATCAAGACATTAAGAGCTGAACCCAACGCCAACGATCAGTATTTGCCTCCATTTGTTATTGTTGATGAGAATGGAAAGCCTGTTGGTCCAATTGTTGATGGCGACGCTGTTGTGACAGTCAACTTCCGTGCGGATCGCATGGTCATGCTTGCCAAGGCCCTTGAGTATCCTGATTTTGATAAATTTGATAGGGTTCGGTTCCCTAAAATTCGATATGCAGGAATGCTTCAATATGATGGTGAATTGAAACTCCCAAGTCACTACCTCGTTTCTCCGCCAGAAATTGAGAGGACATCTGGTGAATATTTGACGCACAATGGTGTCCGGACTTTTGCTTGCAGGTGAGTTTTTTTTTTTTTTTTTTTTTTGCAGCCCTGGTGTGTTTATCCTCCATCCGGGAGAACAGATGATGGCTTTCAAACAAATACTTCACATCTTAATTTGCTAAGTTCCAGTCATGAAAAGAGGAGTGGTCTAGTTTGACATGAGTTTTTTACTCTCTAGCTTGATAGGAATGGATGATTGAGGAGTCAACTGTTTAACTACGAGAAACTCTTTAGGAGTACTAAGGTTTCTAGTTGTGATTGTATGGCACTATAATATGACTTCAGACTATCCATTTCTAGATAAACTCACATGTGTATATTTGCTGTTCCTTGTCAGTGAGACTGTGAAATTTGGTCACGTAACCTTCTTCTGGAATGGCAATCGCTCTGGTTACTTCAACTCAGAAATGGAGGAATATGTTGAGATTCCAAGTGACAGTGGTATTACCTTTAATGTCAAGCCGAAAATGAAGGCATTGGAGATCGCTGAGAAGGCTAGAGATGCTATTCTTAGTGGAAAGTTTCACCAGGTAAATTTCTTAACATTTGAAATTGAATACCCCCTAAGACTTGTAGTCTGTTGCAAATAGCATTAACTAAAACGATGATGGTCCTGACCAGGTGAGAGTGAACCTGCCAAATGGTGACATGGTTGGACATACAGGTGATATTGAGGCTACAATTGTGGCTTGCAAGGCTGCAGATGAAGCTGTCAAGGTAATACTGGCGTCTCACATTTGTGCTTTTCATCTTTTTGTGTCTCGGCTTTAAGGGGAGGAGTATCTACTGTTGCTGTTTTTATCATTTCTGTGCTGGATTTTCTATTGTATTCTTTAGAAAGTATTATCGGCATTTGGGGCTCATTTGGTTCAATCGAAGATTCTACTTGTACTAATTGATGGATTATTGCCTAATCGTGTGCTGGTAGTTTGTGTTGTTATGATGATCTGCTTCTGTTCCTTAACAATTGTATGTCATTATGCAGATGATCCTTGATGCAATTGAGCAAGTAGGCGGGATCTACGTGGTAACTGCTGATCATGGAAATGCTGAGGATATGGTGAAGAGAAACAAGAAAGGGGAGCCTCTTCTTGACAAGGCTGGCAAAATTCAAATCCTCACTTCTCACACTCTTGAGCCAGTAAGCACTATTCCAAATACTTTTTCTTCCTTGCTAACATGACTGTAGACAGGGAGCGGTTAAGCGTTATTATTCATTTAATAGGCATATGGTTTGTTAGTTTATTGGTTGCTGTAAAAGCTAAGTTCTCGTATCTTCTGCAGGTCCCAATTGCAATTGGTGGTCCTGGATTGACAAAGGGGGTGAGGTTCCGTCAAGATCTACCTGGTGCTGGCCTTGCCAATGTTGCTGCAACGGTTATGAATCTACACGGTTTTGAGGCACCTAGCGATTATGAGCCAACCCTAATTGAGGTTGTCGACAACTAGATCATCAGACGATCTACAAATTTTGCTTTAAGAGTATTTGAATAAGAATTGAGAAGTCCCTATAGGAGTGTGTTTCTTGCAGTTGATTTGGCATTTTTTTTTTAATAACGCCGGAACTTCACTAGAAATGGTAAACTCACGCCCACTGTAATAGTTTACGAATCACAGTGGAAGGCAAACCACCTTAGGCAAGTCCAGGGTGACAAGCTCGGGTTTGAAATTTTAGAGGTGCTAATAGACAAGGTGAGAGTCAATCCTTCACTTTTTGTTAGAGTGGAAGATTAAATTTATGACCTCCTTTTGAAGCAAAAGTGGCGTTACTACTGAACCAACTCTTCATTCGTCATTTGGCATCTTTTTGTTATATCATATCTCAAGTTTTGTTAGTAAAAAAGATTATATACCGTCTTGAATGTTGATGACATTAACTTTGAAATCCGAATCAGAGGTACCCTTCAAACTGCAAGATCAACTTTGCAAGATCAATTTTGTGGAAATTTTGTTCCTCTTAATATGGAGATCATTCAAACTCGCCCTTCATCATATTCTTAGGTTTGAAAGATAGTTTAACGAACGAAAGCACAACATAATCCTTTTCCTCCAATTCAAAAGGGAAGCTTTTTATTTTCCTTTTCTTTTCTAGGAAGCAACATCATTCATGACAATGGGTTTGTGTGAAACTGTGAATGGATGGCATATCATTTTGCTCTTTTTCGCTTATCGGGAACAACATATTCAATTGCGACCTTCTGCTCGTAAATGCAAGAGACCTTTGAATTAGAAACATTATCCCACCTACAAACTTTAGAACTTTGTGGAAGTAACTTGCTATTCACACACAGAGTCCAGAAGGAATTTTTCGTTGTGGCGAAGATCAATCATCAAGTTGGGCAAAGACGCATAAATGTTAAGGACTCCTCTCAAGTCTCAACCCAACCCACAAAGCCATTTCCAGAGCTTGAAGCAACCCAAATCCCTTTTGTCTTTGGCGTCATTCATCATTATAAAACAAAAAAATAAAAATACACACACGACTGAAAATGGTTATCCCCACGTAATGTGTAATCTTCTTCTCCTTTTCCATTTATTTTTGTTAGTATATTTTTAAGGTAAAAAGTAAAAACAACAGCCTTCGTTAGTACATTTCCTTAGCAAAACAAAACTTCTCCCCAATAAATCCATCACAACCCAAAATTGCTCTGAGAAGAATAAAATCTCTAATCTTTTTGTAGTTTATACTGTGAAAACCCAATTACACTGAATTTATTGGGTACTAATTATATAGCAGACTATGATAACAGTACATCCAATCTTTTAAGTTGCAGAATTTGCGTGCCGAACCGACAAGAAATGATAATAAATTATAATTGCAACAATTGAAATAAAAATTTTAGATTTAGCTATTATTATTCTTGCTATTTTAATTTAATTTAATTTTTTTTGGCCTTTTGGGGGTCTATTTATCTTCTGCCCTTGACACCTTTACCCCATTCTAATTCTTCTTCACAGTGCTTTGCCTTTTTTTCTATCCGGAAATAAGTTTCCCCTGCATCTGTATTGATCTGGTAACCGAGGATTCCTATCTGGGTCGTCTCGCAGATTCTGCCTATTTGATCTTTTTTCATCTGGGTAATTTTTCTTCTCCATTTTATTTTCCTTAAATTTGTGTATTTATTGAGGTTTTGAGTTGGGTTTTTTGTGATTGCCTATTGGGGTTTTTATTATTGGTTGGTTGGTTGGCCTGTTGTGGATTCGTGTAAGTCGGATTGTACTGCTCTGGAATGAATAGATTGTTGTTGCAGAACGATTATATATATTTAAATAAGTTTGTGGAATGAACTGATTGTTTGCTTTCTCTTTGTGGGTTTTGCCATATACCCAATCTTCTTTATTTGATTGCTGTAGTTTATTGGCTGTAGATACTTAGACTTCACAATCTAGAGTCCATATCTTGGGTAGGAAATTTGCTCCTTTCAGCTGCTAAGTTTTGGTTCAACTTTGTGTATGTGGAGGCTTGTTTGTTCATTTTCAACTGTAGGGGAGCGAGTATTTTTGCTGAATTGAGCCAAATAAATGTCATTGAGGTTTTTGCCGTTGTTTGTTGTTTGCTGTTGTCGTCTTGGCATTGGAACCGATGCTTTAATGGATAAAATGGTGTGGGTGTAGAGTGGTCGAATTTTTTAGTTGAATGGATATGGCAGGTAGACAATTGGATGATTTGCGACATGTGATGTTATATCTAGAATTTTAGTTTTTATATGTTCTCCAGAATCTGAACATTTTTGAAATACTTGCCTGATTTGTCGTGCATTCTGGGTTAAAATGCAGCTTTTGGAATTAAAATAAGACTGAATCGTATAAACATTGCTCTGGATCATGCTTTACACAAAATTTTTGAATCTGAGTTTTAATGAGTATTCTCTTGGATTTTCCATTAGTATGTTAATGTTCTCTTCATGTTTCTTGAAAGCTCACACTTTTGGTTATGAAGAGGGAAAGAAAGTGACATCGTGTTTGTCCCTTTCTTTATCAGGGACCTAAGGTGCTCAAGCTTTTCGTTATTTTTAAAATTTTATTGTTGTGACTGTATGCCAAGGTTCTTGCAAGTAAAATAATTGAGTGTGTGTACTTGGATTTATCACTACATGTTCCCCATATGGCTTGTGATATTTCCTATATTCGGTAGCAATCGGACTGCGGTTGTATGAACTTGCCTTTCTCTTCTTAAAGTTGTATATTTCTTTCCTGGTGTACATGCAGTAGAAGCCATTCCTGTAAGCAGTATATTTTCTGGCAATCAGAAGGTCGATTTCTGCACTGTGTTGGTTCAATCCAATCATATATGGGCTGAGCTGTGCATTTCATGGGAGGTGTAGACGATGAAGAACCACCTTCAAAACGTGTGAAAGTATCCTCTGTAGTCTTAGGAGGTCTTTCCAACGGTATATATACTAGGGAACTCGCAAGTTGCTCTTACAGTGAATCAATGGCCCGGCCCCTATCATCTGAGGGGGACAATGAGGTTGTTGGTCAAAAAGGTATTGTTAGGAAAGCAGAATTTATTCGGATCATAGCCGAGGCATTATATTCACTTGGCTACGAAAAGAGTGGTGCATATCTGGAAGAGGAATCTGGGATATCGTTGCACTCGTCTGCTGTTACTTCTTTCATGCAGCAAGTTCTTGATGGCAAATGGGATGAAAGTGTTATGACATTGCGCGAAATTGGTCAAGTGGATGAATCTATTGTTAAATTGGCATCTTTTGTTATTCTGGAGCAGAAATTTTTTGAACTTCTGGATGGAGAGAAATTGATGGATGCTCTGAAGACATTAAGGACTGAAATTGCACCATTGTGTGTGAACAGTGATAGAGTTCGTGAGCTCTCCTCCTGCATTGTTTCTCCTTCACATCGTGATCATTTTGGAATTTCTGGTCAAGATGCGAAACGGTCAAAGTCACGGTCAAATTTGTTGGATGAATTGCAAAGATTGCTGCCACCGACAGTAATGGTCCCTGAACAAAGGTTATTACATCTTGTAGAACAAGCTCTTGACCTGCAACGGGATGCTTGTAAATTTCACAACTCGTCTGTTGAAGATATGTCACTGCTCACTGATCATCAGTGTGGAAGAGATCATATTCCATCTCATACTTTACAGGTATATTTTCAGTTGTTTATTTATTGGAATAAGTTGTCAAAGAATTGTTGCTTCTACACTATCAATACTCATATATGGCATGAAGGGACAAGCCCCTCTCTCTCTCTCACACACGCAATGATGCAATTCCTAGTGTTTAGATTGTTTGTCAACTATTTTGGTGCGACACATGGCCTGTATTTTATGGGTCATCAAGTACCTGTCCATGTCTTCTTAACTAATACATATGGGTTTTCATTATCCTTGTACTTTCGAAACTAAGCCTGTGGAGGCTGTTTGTACGTGAAATGTTCCATTTTTCTGCCATGTGTTGCTACCTGTTTGTTTTGTTTCTCCTTCTATTTTCAAATATGAAAAGATACATTTGCACAAGGTAAGAGGGTTGTCGTGTGACCTGGGATCACATGTTCAGATTGGCGAAACACTGTCTTGTAGAAGACTAAGGTACTTCTGTGTGCTTCAGGCGTTGATGGCCTGGTCCTTCTTTTGGACCATGCACATGCAGGAAGTTTTTGCAAACTCAAACCACTCGTGTGTCCTTCATTCTCTCATTCTTTCCCTTGCGTTCATAAATACATTGTTGTTGAAGTGGTGATAAGAAGTGAAGTCAACTGAAGGACGTGTCTCTTTTCTTCATTAATCATAGTAGGCCTGTAGGATGTAGTTACTGCCATTAGAGAAGAAAACAGGCGTCTGCTTCTCTCTTTGCCCTTTAGGCTGCCTCTTTCACTCATCTTTTAGTTCTATATTTGAACTTTTTTTTTGGAGTTTTTTATTTATTATTTTCGGTCTTCTTCTTGGCCAGACCCCTTTTTTTTTTGTTACTCTTTTCTAATATTTCAGGTTGTTAGAATCTGAAGGCACCCTTATTTTTTGTCAAAAAAAATCTGGCAGCAGCTTGTTCACTTTTTCTTTTGTCTAGGATTGTCTCTATCTCTGAGAGGTGTAGACCATCTGCTAGAAGCTCTTATTTAAAGCTTGACATGTTATCTTTTCATGATGCGATGAGGGAATGCTGTTATATAAGTTTACTAAGCTTAAAATGTCAATGGTAATGCTGTGCATTTGGTTCATACAGTAGTGATTTGATTTGAATTTCTCTTGCTGGCACAGATACTTAAAGAACACCGTGATGAAGTCTGGTTCTTGCTATTTTCCCACAATGGGAAATATTTGGCTTCGTCATCAAATGATCGCACAGTGATTATTTGGGAGGTAACTGAAATTAACTTGAATTTGGTTAGGGTCTTCCTCATTTTCCATGAAATGTTCTCTTACAAGAAATTTCTGTTTGGCATCGGCACCTATGTAAAAACTAGTAAGATTCTTTGGAAGTAGTCCTTTTTTTTCGTATGTGTGTGTGTGTGTTTTTTTTTTCTTTTTTTTTTTTTCTAATGAATCCTCTTAAGTCATGTTTTCCTTAGACAAATATGTAAGCGTGGTTACATGACACCTGATGCTTGTGGATCCATGTATTGGTCAGCTAAAGGTGAAAGTGAACAAAAAGTCCCAGATATAGAATTGAGATTGTTGAGATGGATGTGCAGGAACTCTAGACTAGATTGAGTATGGAATAAGGAAATTAGGATAGCCCCAGTAGATGCAAAAATGAGGTAAATATTCCTGCAATGCAAAAATTAGTGACTTTGTTATTTGAAAAAACATGATTTTTATATCTCTATACACGGTTTCTTGATATGACCCATATACAACAGGCCCATATATTGGAAAACAACTTAGTTTCTGTTCAGTGACCTTTTTGTTTCCCTCCAACTTGAAGAATTAAGAGGGTGCTACTTGATATATTTGCAACATACATGCGAACATTTTTCTGCTTATTATGACATGGTGGAACTTTTTCAATTCATAATCCACTAGCTAAAAATGGGGAACTTTCTGTATTCATAATCCACAATCTAAAAATGTGGAAGTTTCTCTATTGTTTGTCTGCATGATGTGCTCTAATGCTGGAAGTCAAATCTAGCTTTATAACATATTGAAACAAGAAGGGCATGCACTGTTTGAGTGAATAATGTTGTTTTGTGTTTGACTTGGTTCTCTTCATCTGGGATGGCGATCTATCTAGCTATGTGAAATACACAGGTAGGTTGTCTTTCGATCCCCCTGTTAGGAAGGTAGAAACTGTAGAATCACGAACTCAAAGAAGAGTAGTAGTAGACCTAAATAACATTGGAAAGAAAGTGTCAAAATAACTTGGAAATATTTAAATTTGAGTGATGAATTGTGTATTGATCGAGGATGATGGCGACATAGGATCCATATAACCAACCCCACATATTGGGGAAAAGGTTTTTTGTTGTAATTTTAGAGGGAAAACAACAAAATAACCTGTTTGGCCCTGTCGTCTACTAAAATGGTTGATGCTTGTTGAAGATGTGGGGAAGATTATGAGGCAGAGCTTGAGGATGATTTTAGAGTTTGGACTGCGAACTAATTATGGCCTTATTTATGTTTTACTTTGTTTTGGTATTCGATGGGTTTGAATTGTGATGCAGTAGTGGTGATTTCTTGCCCCCCACTAGTGTAGGTTCTTAATACAATTGCCGATGACGCTCCACGTGTTCTCCATTTTGACGCTAAACTAGGACCTCATGACACTATCTTTTTACCTTACACGCAAGCACAAGAAAGCTACATTCAGGGAAATTTGAACATGCTGGATTGGACTTATAATCCATAATACATATAGCTGAACCCCTAGACAGCCAAAACCTTTACAAGGACCTTGTCACCTATTTTCCCAGGATCCTGTAATAATAAGCCACAATAGGGACTTCAATTGAAGCTGTTTGAATTTTCTTCTTCAGTTGAGCTGCTATGAACTTGAGGCCTCATGACGCTTAAGCATTTGTTGCAAAACAATTGACGGTATTGAGAGTAAACGGAAGAAGGAAATGCACACGATATAGATAAAAAGGAAGTATCATCACATACATTCTTTATAAATTACGACATGACAAGGAATAGTTTGCCATTCTATCTATGCCCCATCATTCACTCTCACATTTTCTCTATGCCCCAATATTGTTTACTCCTGGCACTTTCCCATGTGCATTGTACACCATTATCATTTCTTCATCTGATGGCTAGTTTCTGAATCTTGATCTATTGTACCATAAACAATTGTAGTGACATCACTGCAATTTCAAAAAATCTGTAGAGTTGAATCAGTTATGGTCTTCTTGTAAAGCTTTATTTGTCCTTCTGTTATATTAAAGGCTCTGTTAGGTTGAGCTGTCAATTATGATACCTGTTGTGCACTATTCTTTATTCCAACTAGGTTTTTAATTCCATCTTGCAAACGTTTTGATTAACTGTCCGGTTAATTGGTGAAGTTTTGGGGTTTTCCGGTAATTTTCAAGGAAATGTTAAATCTTGGACAATTGTAATTCTATGTGATTGCATGAACCACCCTCTCATTTGCAATCTTGTTGGTTGGTATAATCTATTGTAATGTTTCCTTTTTACAGGTTAAAGTGGATGGCAAACTCTCTTTGAAGCATAGATTAAATGGTCACCAGAAACCTGTCTCCTACATATCATGGAGCTCTGATGACCTTCAAGTCCTGACATGTGGAGTGGAGGAGGCGGTTAGACGATGGGATACTCTGTCTGGTGAGTGTCTCCACACATATGAAAAGGCTGGTCTGGGTTTGGTGTCATGTGCATGGTCTCCAGATTGCAGAAGCATATTTACTGGAGTAAATGACAAGAGTATCATCATGTGGGACGTTGATGGGAAGGAGCTAGAGAGTTGGAAGGGGCAGCGGACAAGCAAGATATCGGATTTGGGGGCATCTAGTGATGGGAGGCTTATTACCGTTTGTAAAGATAATATGATTTTATTATTTGGATGGGAAGCAAAGGATGAGAAAATAATAGAAGAGGATCAAACAATTATTTCATTTTCACTATCCAAGGATGGAAAATTCCTGCTGGTTAGTCTCTTAAATCAAGAATTACATCTGTGGAATATCCAAGATAATGCAAAGCTCGTAGCTAAATACAAAGGTCACAAGCGCTCTCGTTTCGTTGTAAGATCCTGTTTTGGAGGCCTAGAGCAAGCATTTATAGCTAGTGGGAGCGAGGATTCCCAGGTACTTTCCTGCACAAGATTTTGTCTTCCATTTAATGTTAGTATTGAAGGTCACTTTAAAGATGCCAATGTCGAATGGAATATTGAATATCACTGTATTGACATGCCGAAGTATTGATCTAATGCTTAAGCTATTCAGTTTGATCTCTTTTAGTTTATAGCTTCTGATAGTTTTTAGAAAGTGGAGGGGAGACCTGTTAAAGCTTTGCCTATTGGTTGCTGCTCCATGTCCAATTATGAGTGTCTTTCTATAATCGAGCTTAAATCTTGCATAATATTTAGAATTATTTTTGCTGAGAACATTTGACATCTGCATATAAATATATCTTTTTTCCAAAAATAAATGCTTGTTATGTGTTGTTGTTGGGGGATCACTGATTACTAGGTCTCGCTCTGTGTAAGTGCCCAAAGATATGTTTGCTGTAATCAACAATTGTCTCCTACTTGTTTAGGCAGTATATGCTGTCTTCATTTAAATTACTACCTCGTGCTGAAATTTGGTTGATAGTTTAATTTCAGAGGAGGTATAAAAAAATTTCCTTAGACCAGATTTCAAGTGCAGTTTACTTATAAGCCTAGATTCTGTCCTCCTTTCAGTTATAACGTGCCCTTGTAGTTATTTTTGAAATTTTTTGTCGATTGCTTTCCTAATTCTTTAGGTTACTTGTTCACATCCAATTAAATTACTAATTAACCATTTTGGTTTCTGATTCATTGCCTGGTTTAGAAACTGTTAACGTCCTTCAATACTAAATAAATAAAGTTTGGTTTGACATCCCGATGGAGGCATAAGGACTCTAATGTTCTGCTCAAACCATGGTACTAGTTTTAAGTTCCTAGTCGACCTTTGGCTTCTTTGTGCACTGAGGTGCATATAAATGAGTACAGGCCAACCACATGTGCAGGTGTCTGCTTAAGTTTCAAAGAAGTGATTAAGAATATAACTTACTGTAGTAGCAGCTACATTTGCTATAAGTTTTCCTTTTCGGAGGTAGTACGCAGTGTACTTCATTTTGTTTGTGTTGTTTTTGGGTGAGGGGAATTCATGAGCTGAGTCAATGAGATCCGTAGAAGTTTCATATATTAACTCATATAATGCAGCATGATTTTAGAGCTGATTTTATTTTTGAAACAAATATGATGGAGGAAGAATCAGTTTTGATGTTTGATCACAATGCATTATGAGGATGATGTCTCATGGCTCATCCTATTGTTATTATTCACTGGATAAGTGGTTCTGTAACCTGTTAGATAAAGTGTTCACAGTTTCTGATCCACAGTTTCTTGTTCACTATGGGAGCATCATTTCTCTTTAGTTTGATTGAATCACTGGATGCTCTTCATGGTGGGTGTAGAATGTATGCCTCATCACTCGTTCTTGACCTGTGTTATTTAGCAATCGCAATTTCCTTCAAATGGATCCGCCACTCTAAAAGGGTTGTACCAATTGTTTAATGTGAGAATGGTGAGTATTTGTGGTTGGATGATGTCTCTAGTTTTGGTCAGAATTTTGGCGAGAGGGAAAAACAACTTCGTCCTGTGGGCCTTGGCATGGTGTGGATGCTGGTTATCTATTTTGTCTTGATCGATGATCTTGAATCTGTATAGTTGGCAATTTTCCTGTTTTTTAATAGGGTACTCGGTTAAATCATAGGTTCTGCCCATGTAATCTATTTATCTGTAAAAGGTGAACTAATGATGATCTACACCTGATTTATAGGTGTATATATGGCACAGAAGCTCAGGAGAGCTGGTTATGACATTACCTGGACATTCTGGCACTGTTAACTGTGTAAGCTGGAATCCAGTGAATCCTCATATGCTGGCTTCTGCAAGTGATGATCATACAATTCGCATATGGGGTCTAAATGAGGTGAAGGTAAAGCACAATGGAGTTCATACTAATGGTGTTCATTACTGCAACGGTGGGAGTTGAGGTGTTTGTCGCAAAGCACACAAATATTTTACATTCTTGATACATCTCAACTTAACCATGGTTTTTGTGTAAATCCTTTTAGTTTTAATGTTCAGTCCGACATTTATAACAACAAGAAGAATGTAAAATGTGCATTCAAATTTCTAATAATTTCTGAACACTTTCAAGCCTCAATACTTGATTAGAGTTTCTTTCTCGCTTGTTTTTATACCTTTGTTTATGAGGTGATTGTTCTTCTCTTTTCTGGTTTTGGGGGTGCTTGTCTGGGAGGATCGTTGGTTCATAAAGCGAAACCCGGCTAGTTTTATTTTTTAAAAAAATGCAGTCTTTAGTTCCCTGAAAGACCTTTGTTAATGGTTGAAAAAGGAATGAAGCTTCGTAATGATTTGTAGCTCTTTCGGGAACTTCTAGTTTGAGTTACCAATCAAAGAAAGAATAGCCATGAATATGTCGGAGTGTGATGTGATTTATCTGTCACCAATCAAAGAAAGTGCAGTTATGAATATGTTGGAGTGATATAAGGATCCTAACCAAGAAGTTAGATCCATCATCAGCTCCGGTTGAAGCTTATCGGGGCTATCTCTGAACTTTCTACTCTAGTAATAAACTAATAGAAGGGAGGTCCAAGATATTATAATATGGTTTACTCCCTAAACCAATGTATGAATATTTCCATAAATCAATAATATACAGGTACGATTTTCAAAAAAAAGAATAAAAATGTTGGAGTGTCTTGTCATTGATCATCTTGGTAAAAATGAACGCCATTACTTTAGTTTTCATTCTTTCGAAGATTCAGATGGCATTTTTGATTTTTCTTGGCATATGTTTTTTACCCTGAAGTTGTGTCATGGGCTATAAGGCAACTTTTACATATGTGTTCTGTAATGGAAAGAACACTTCGTGGTAGCTGTTGTTTCACTTCTGATCAATGTAGAACCAGAAAGTTCAACCAGACAAATGGTTTGATCATGGAGATTCAGAAGGTAAAACGGTTTTGAATTATCCACATTATCCTTGAGCAGTTCTGATATTTCTGGGTACAAAGTTTTGAAGAAGAAAAAAACCTCAACCAAACCAAAACATTTCAAAATAATTAATATTAAGGTGAATTGATATTACATACAAAAGCAAAAGGCAAAAGATGGATAGGGTTCTCTTTGTTAAGCAAGACTGAAAGAGCTAGCTGCGCTCTCAACATACTTCCTGGCACCTTTGAACCATCTCTTGTCTCCAGCTTGTGCTTTGCAGATGTAAAGCTTGCCGTCGGATACGGTCGCCGTGATCAGCTGGTGCTTCCCGCCTTCATCACCATCTGCAGTCCTTGTTAACACGGTCACGAAGTAGTATTGTTTCCCGTTGACTGTTGGAGTTGCCGTCTCCAGTATGTTAGCGGTCGCGACCTGGTTATCTGTGAACCCTCCCTGAGGAGATGATGATGATCCAGTTGTATATAGTTAGTTTTGCAGGGTTCAAATTTTGATGGCAAGATGAGCTAGTTAAACTCTTTTGAATACCATATAAATGTTCTGAAGAGGATCTTACCTCAGCGTCGGTTTTACCGGAGTAGGCTTGTTTTCCTAGAAGGTAATCAACCTGTGGGAATCCCAGAATCAGTCATTCTCTTCCACAAAAATTGTTTGATGCTATCGAAACATTGGAAATTGAACTTAAGAAACGCAAAAGATAACATATTGGTAAAATGGGTTATATACCTTGGAGAGGAATTCCTCAGGAGAACCATAGTCAGTGATGGACTTCTTGTCAGTTGGTTGGACCAAAACACAGAGATTGCTGGTGGAATCGAAGTTGTCCTCGTACCTAAGAACTTGACCAGGGAACTCGATTTCTTTGCTCGGGTTCCATTTAGAGGGAATCTGCAACTTGAATCCGTCTCCAGTGTAATTAATGAATTCTGTGTTGGTTTTTGGTTTTCCGAAAACATTGGCTGCCATAAAAAACAAACACAAAATAAGTTTACTGTAATGAACATGATGTTGTACTCAATTTATCTGTTCTAGTTAACCATGAACACAAAACATTTCCAATTGTGCAAACAAACTTGTTCATATCCTGATTTTGATAATTTAGGCCTTAAAACAGAGTAGCCCACATCATAAAATCTTGCGAAATTTTGTGCAGGAATGTTGATTTTCATCCAGAAGAATCAGAAAAAAACAAATTACCGGCTTCTCCGTAGGCGGCATCGGCCGGAGAAACTTTGGACCCAACGGCAGCAGCGCCAATGAGAACTGTAAGAGCCAATCTACGGGAAACAGAGCCGCCATTAATGGCATCATCTTCTGCAGTACTCTGCTTCTGGGCACGGCAGACTAATTGGTTGGGCTTAAGGGATGATGGCTGAACATAACGCTGTGATGATGTTCTTGCTGGCGTGGAGATTTGCAAGAAACAAGCAGCAGCAGTTGATGCCATTCTTCTTCTTCTTCTTCTTCTTCCAAAAGCTTTAATCTTCTCCTGGATTGGTTTGGGTATGAAGAGAATGGGAAAAATGGTTTGTTTCTTTTGTTTTTTTACCCCTGTTTTCTTTTTTTTTTTTGGTTTTTGATTTTCGGGGTTTTTGTGATATGTGAAAGGGGAATTTGGTTGTGGATATCGGGGAAGATTACATTTATCGTTGGGATAAGGTATTTGAGGCCATTGATAAGGCCAAGTAGGCAATGACATTGTGTTCCAGTTGGTTCGAAATGCTTGATGAAATCTCCAGGTCAAGTAGTAGGGTCCAGTCAGATTGAGAAAGATGAAAACATGCATTATTTTGAATAACTCGACGCTTTGAAAAAAATTCCATAGTTTCGTCGGGTGAATAGTAAGAAAGTTACATGCATTATGTACGTTAATGAAAGTTGTGTTCTAATACTTTGGATTATTAACCACAAATTAAATCCAAATCCAATGTAATGTAAGAAAGGCGAATGATCAATTTAGTAAACTGAATTTCTTCTTAATTGACAACTCCATCAACATATTGAGTTGAATTATAAACTTTATAAAAGTCCATCAAAAAAATTTCAGAAACTCCATTAATCAAATAAAGAATGATTATGAGCATTAAAAAAATTAATTAACACCCTATCATTTTTAAATTACAACTCCATAAAAAATTAAAGGTGGTGGGATAGGAGTTCACAGACGCCGTGTTGGAATTTTTCGCATCTGGCCAGGTATTTAAACAGTTGAATTCTACTGTTTTAACTTTGATTCCAAAGATTGAAGTACCATTGAATACTGGCCATTTCCGTCCAATTGCCTGTTGTAATGTATTGTATAAGTGTATTTCTAAAATCTTATGCAATAGGCTGAAATTAATATTACCTATATTAGTAGATGAGAATCAAAATGCCTTTGTTCTGGATAGGCTTATTCTACGTAATATTTTGATTACTCAAGAACTAGTTAGGTTATATTGACGGAAGGGGACAAGTAGAAGATTGATGATGAAAATTGATTTTAAAAAAGCATATGACTCTGTTAAATGGGGCTTTTTAGAGGAGATGTTATTAGGGTTTGGCTTTCCATAGGTGTTTAGGGGGTGGATAATGGAATGTGTAAAAATAGCTTCATTCTCGCTATCATTGAATGGTAGTCTAGTTGGATTCTTTCCAGGGAAGAGAGGGTTAAGACAGGGGGATCCCGTCTCCCCCTTCTTTTCGTTCTAGTAATGGAGTATTTAACTTGTAGCTTGAAGCGAGTGGCTGATAGTAAATTCAGGTTCCATCCAATGTGTATGAATTTGCGCCTAACCAATATCTGCTTTGCGGATGATCTGATTGATCTTCTGCAAGGCAGACTTGGTAACGGCAACATGAATTATGGAGGTGTTCGAAAGTTTTTCGATGACTAATGGACTGGTTGCAAACCAATAGAAGTCCTCAATTTATTTTGGGTGTGTAGAACAAAACTTACAGGAGAAGATTTACAGTATAACTAAGTTAAACATAGGGACATTTCTAATGAAATATCCAGGAGTGTCACTATCTCCTAAGAAATGGCCCCGGTGGTCTGTCAGGATATCATTAATCGTATCAAAATAAGGATTAAGTGTTGGAGCACCCGTCACTTATCCTATGTTGGAAGATTGCTCTTAGTGAACTCAGTTTTGATGGCGATGCATTCATATTGGGGGTCAATTTTTATCTTACCAAATTCAGTCACTAACATGGTGAATAGAATCTGTCGAGAATTCTTGTAGGGTACGAAAAGTAATGGCAGAGCTATTTCATTAGTAAGCTGGGATGATGTGTGTAGAGAAAAGAAGGAGGGCGGTCTAGGCATTCGGATGCCAAGTTATGGAATAAAGCCACAATAGTGAAACAAGTCTGGCACTTAGCTCTACAAAAAGAATTCTTGTGGGGTTCAATGGGTGCATGGTGTTTATATCAAAAAAGCTTTTTTTTTGGGAAGTGCAGCTGAAAGCGGATGCAAGTTGGCAATAGAAGAAAGTTTTGAAGCTGCGGGATCAAGTCAGGAGGGGCTTTGATAATAATAAATGGAAAGCTGAGAAGAATGGTAAGTACACCATTAAGTTTGGCTACAACTAGTTGATTGGTTCAGGAGAAGAGCAGGTAGTAACCCATTGTATTTGGGCCAGAAATGTTATACCAAAGCATTCCTTTATTGCATGGTTGGCCTGGAGGAATCGACCGCTTACTAAAGAAAGACTGAGAAGTATGCACAAGATGATTGCTGATGTTAATTGTATACTCTGTCAGAGGAAAACTGAAACAGTTGCGCACATCTTTTTTCAATGTGAGTTTGCGGAGGTTCTGATGGAAGGACTGAGCAAATGGCTAAGGTGCGGGAGGTTCTCGCCAAAGTTCTCTAGATGGAAAAAACAGATAATTCATATGTGGAACGGGGCAAAAATGAAGAGGAGGATATTCCTGGCAGAATTCATGGCGTGTATTTACCACCTATGGGAAAAAAGGAATCGAAAACTACATGGACAAGATGGAAGATCTGCTGATGGAATCTTACGCCAATTGCAGACATAACTAAAATACAGATTTGCTTACTGGCAGGAAAAGAGGAATATTGGAGCTGAAAGAAGAGTATTGCAACAGTATTTTGATATGGTATATATTCAGATATGTACATATTGTTTAGAAGTTTAGTGAAATCTGTACGTAAAAGTGAGTTGGTAGAGTAGCACTTTTGTCAGCTTGAAGGAGGGAATCGGATAAGAAAGCCTTGTATTTTTTCACTTTGGTGATTATGTTCGTGTGTACATATATATATATATATATATATATATATATCTACTACTATATAAAAGCAAGAGTCCCAAAAACAACAGTGCCCTTCGTCGTTGGAACAACATCAATAAAGCAGTGAAAATTTTGTAATTTAATTGAAAAACATGCATAAATATTACAACTTTTTCAAGCCCAGACAAAAACACGTGGCCCTTTTAAGTTTTAATCCCAGCTCCTTTTCATTCACTTTAGATTTTGGATTTTACTTAATTTTTTGGGCCTAAATTATGGCGTCTCAAGGGAAAAAGAAAAAAGTTTGGCTAGATGCTTAACATTTATCAATTTTATTTATAAATAATTAACTTTTGATGAAGATTGATATATAAAAAAAGGTACATGTCATTTTATTCTTATTATGTATAATTTCATATGGAGTATAGTCTACTACTATTATTATCAAAGGAAGAGAGGGACAACTACAATATTTTTCATCGTTGGTACACTCTAAAGGTATTTATATACTTTCAGAAAGATTGTCTGAATTTTTTAATCAAATGGACCATATCATTTGGACATTTGTCATTAATGCAAGAGGGGAAATTCTTATTATGGTCATTGTCCCCCTCAAGCCTTTTTCTTTTTTGTCTTTTTCTTTTTTTATTCAACTTCTAAATTATATAAAAAACTAATATTACATGTGACGTCACAAAGGTTGGAACTTAGACCGATTGGGAGAGATGGATGACGATGGCCAAAATATTACCTTCAAAATGCAAACTGGAGTTCACTTGATTGTTTTTATATTTAATTTAAGTGTTATACCAAAATATGTATTGTTTATCATTATCAATTCCAATTGCTACATATGACCATTGAAGATATTACGGTAAATAATAATATAAAAAATTATAATGTTTTTGTTAAAAAACTTTCGATATTAAGCACACAAATTGATTTTTTTTTTTTGGAAGTACATATATTGTGTATTAATTTAAGCAATGAATGACATAATTCATCAATTTGTGTATTTTCTTAATGTCTTACCATAAAATCCTTCTTACTTTTCTTCTTAATTTTTGACACTTTAAAGTTTAAATATTATGAATGTATCCACGATCTTCTACACTAATGCAAAAATGTCTTAACCCTATATTACAATTAAATAATAATCTCTATATAACAGAAAAATAGTCTACTTTTGTATATTATAAAAAAATTTTTTAATAAAAAATTGGTCAATTCCATAAAGGTCTAACCATTAATTATCATACATTTTTAATTTTTCAACTTAAAATAGTAACTTACATCTATTTTTATTATAAAATAATACAAAAGCGTTACAAAAATTCAATTACATTTTTCTTATGGAATGCCCACCTTACCTCTACTTTGAAAAATGAATAGATATTACCAAAATAAAAAAAGTGATTGAATGAGATGGTAAAAATTGACAATTACTTCAAGAGATTTGAATTTAAAGAATTTATTTGAATAACTCAATTTAAAATAAAATGAAGCCAAAATTATATTAAAATTATTAAAGTGTAAAATCTATTCCCCCGAGTAATCGCGGGCTAGAAAAATCTAGTATATATATATATATATATATATATATATATATATATATATATATAGATACCTTTTCATAAAAGTGATTATGTTCATATATATATATATTTACCTTTTCAAAAAAAAAAATTAGAGTTGGATCACAAGAATGAAAACTTTTTAATAACAACTAATCGTAAAAAGTAGAAAATCCGTTATTGCAAGAACTCGATTAAAAAATTAATAGAAATTCTATTTTTTCTTTCGCAAAAATGTTAATAAAAATGAAATTGAGTTATTTGTATTTTAAAGAACCTCAAAGTCAATTACATTTAGATAACAACTACATTAAAAAATAGCAGAAAACCGATATTTCAAAATAACAATTCTAAAAAAAAAGAATTTAAAAATCCATCATTTTAAACGATAATTCCACAAAAAATAAATCATGGCATAATCTTTGTAATCTTTCAGCAAGAACTCCATAAAACAAGATTATCATTTTTTAAACAATCAAACCATAAAAATTAGAGTGAACTACAAAACATGTCATTATATTTTTCGGTAATTCCATCACAGGTCTTCAAACGAATTTGTTTCCAAAATAGGTCACCATAATAAGCCAAAATTTCTTCCAACATCATTCTGTTAATTTGAACGTTAAATTGTGAGGGAAAGCTATTTTACACATGCTTTTGAGTTTAGGAGTATTTTCGTCATTTTTTTATTATTAAATTTTTATTTTTTAAAATTTTTTAAAATTTTATTTTTTTTTACAATTATTTTTCTTATACTTTGTAACTTGTATATGTTGGTAATATAATTACTAAATTTTAAAAATTAATTTAACTTTTGTATTTTAACTTCTAGATTATAAAAAATTTTTTAAAAAAATTTAAAAATGAAAACAAAAAATTCGAGTTGAAGTACACATGAAAATTAATATTTTATTATTTTTTTTAAATAGATTTAATTATTAATTTTCACGTTTACTTCAATTTCAACTTCTCTTCTTTATTTTTTTTCTTCATTCTTTTATAATCTAAAAATTAAGATACAATTGACAAATTAATTTTTAAAATTTGTAATTATAATAGTACCAACATACTCAAGTTAGGAAGCAAAAGAAGAAGAATTTCAAAGAAAAAATAATATTTTTTTAAGGAAATACGAAATGATGAAATTACCCTAGACCCAAAAGCATGTGAAAAATAGGTTTGTGTCACGATTTAACGTCTAAAATAGCTTTGTGCAGCTAAGACAAGTTGTTTCGTCTTAGTTTTTTTTTTTTCGGTTTAAAATAATAAAATATTAATTTTCATATTTACTTCAACTCAAATTTTTCTTCTTCATTTTAATTTTTTTTTTTAAAAAATTTATAATCTAGAAGTTAAAATATAAATGTTAAATTAATTTTTGAAATTCAGTAATTATACTACTAACATATATAAGTTAGGAAGTATAAAAAGAAAAAATGTTAAAAAAAATTAAAATTAAAAAATTTGGAAAAAATAAAAAATTTAAAAATAAAAGAAATGACAAAAATACCATGAATTCAAAAGCATGTGAAAAATAACTTTCCGTCACAAGTTAATGACCAAAATTAACATAATGATCTCGGATAAATTTTTGGCTTTGTACGGTGACCTATTTTGGGAATAAATTTGATTACTAACCTGTAATGAAATTACCGAATAGCTCAATGGTCTGTTTTTTGGTTCATTCTGAAAATTAAACCACCTTTCCATCATTTCTCAACCAGAACTCCATTATAAAACTATGGGCAAACTACATTTTACCCCCCCAGTTTTGGTCACTCCACCATGTCCCCCTTGAGTTTTTCCGATACTATCAATACCTCCTTGTATGTAAAGTCAACTCACAAAACACACCCTGCTGACCGGAAAGTGATGTATGTGATGATGTCTGCCAAACAAAATTACAGAGCAAGTAGCCGCCGCTTTTTTTCTCTTGTCACCACTCTTCCCGAAGTTCATGTTTTTTTGTTTCATCTCAATCTCAATTCGTTAATAAGACACAAGAAATGAAGAAATCCAACCTAATCCACCGTAAAATTGTCACAAAATTTTACCACCCAATTAACCAACTAATTGTTCAGGAAGAATTCTTTACAGGAACAACAATTTTGGCATCACAAAGAAAGGAAGCCACCAGCTTTTTCTTATTGTTTTTTTTTTTTTTTGATGGAGTCCACTAGAATTCTCCACCACATCTACTCCACAAAATTGAAAATTTGAGTAAAAAGCATGAACATAAGAGGTTGGGAGTTTTACTTCTCCAGTAATGGTTGTTTGGCCTTCTCTGCAATTACTCTGCCGTGATTTCTTTACTTCCTTAAGGTCGAAACACAACTATTTGAAACCCTTCAATGTCGTCAACAACGTTATCCATACTGACCCTAAAAAAAAACAGACCCTTTAACCAAAATCTCAGAGAGGCTTTGATGATTCTTCCTCCGAAAATCGAATTTCAGATTGATTTTTGAGCTTAATATGAATCTTGGCTGGAATCTTTCATGGATTTTTGCAGCTATGTCGGAATTAGGCTTATTCTCTTTGGCCTAGGGCAGATCTGAGCCTCAATTTTAAGATTGACGCGCCGTGGATGCAGTGGAGGAAAGGGTTCTTATTTTTGGGTTGTTGTCGAGATCTCAAAATGAACAGAAAAAATGAAAGACATGGTTAAGTGACCAAAACTCGGATTTTCGGCCTGGGTTTTTTAGTCATTTCGTGGATTCCCGGCGTTGACTTAATGTTTCACCCTATCAAAGGGGGTATCGGTGGTTTTAGGAAAACTCAAGGGGGACATGGTTAAGTGACGAAAACTGGGGGGGTAAAATGTAGTTCGCCCTAAAACTATTGAATATCCATCATTTTAGACAATAACTCCATAAAAATAACGCACTGATCCTTATAAAAGTATTAGAATTTTCATCATTTCTTCCATACGAACTACATAACAAATTCATAGGATTCATTATTTTAATTAGATAACAACTCCCAAAAAAAATAAACAGAAACTGAATTGATTTTAAGCTACATTTCAATAAATAAAGTTGAATTGTAGATATTAAAAAATAACAGAATGTCCATCATTTATAAATAAGAAATCCATCACAAAATCACATAAACTCCATTTTATATAACCTCCATCAAATGTTACATTGATTTATGAACACTGTCTGTAATATGAAAGAGGGAGTTTAAGAAAGGCATGCTTGCTTCAAAGTTCCAGAATAGTTTAATTAGAGAAACTAAATCAACATACGCAACATAAATCCAATCAAATTGGGATATAATTAAGAAAGCAACTTTACCTGTAGTAGTTAAATATATGTGTAATTTGATGTATTGATTTCAACAATCTCACAAATTGAAGAGCTATTTGGTTGATTTTATTTAATAGAGTCATTTATATCTAGTTTATCGTGAGCACAATGTTAGAGTGTCAATAATGATTCTTTCCAGCCCCATTTACAATACAAATTCTAGAGAAATTAAATCCAAAATGATTATCTAATTTGTACTTAAAGTGAAAATCCAAATTAGATAATAATTTTGGATGTAGGGAGTATGTGTGTATATGTTTTTTTTTTTTTTTTGGCGGACAAACTGAGTGTATGTGTGAGGGTATTGTTTTCCATATTACATTGTTCGTACCGTGTTTTTATCTCATCTTTTTTTTTTATTAATTTTATATATATCTCATCTCTAAAATGTTTGCATATCATTCGAAGTAATTAAGCGAAATTGAGTGATTAAGTCAACTTTTAAGTTAAAAGTCCAAGACAAACTAGCCCAATGCTACAATTCGGACAAGGGCACATGCATGTGTTCGATATACTTTGGAAAATTAAAATACTGATAATCCAACTTGCATAAATGGTTCATTTCATAACTGCATAACTGCTCTCGCGAGTAGATGCAGACTCTATTATAATCCAACTTGCATATATAATTCACGAGTTGTTAGTTTCAATTGGATTAAGAAGGAAAATTTAGAGGGGGCGGTTGGAGATTTATGTCAATGTGGTGTTCATAATTTAGGGAGTAACAGAGTATTTTGTTGAATAAAAATTATGAGTAAATTTTTTTCAGGAGAGTAAGTGGTTCATTTCATTCATAGGCACTGGAAATCATCCAATTATACAGTTGATCGACGATTATTACGGCCATTCTTTGCTACAAGCAGCTAACTAGAGACTAATTCTATTTTCACTCTTACCAAGCTGAAAAAATCCCTCTAGAGAAAAAATTGGCAATCTTGTGTCTCAAAGATTCCAGAATGGTTTCTGTATAGCTTTCGATGGCCTGAAATTCCAGCTGGGCTGCAAGAAGCACTCCCTATGATAGATGATGGCTACAATGAAAAAGAAATAAAATTCGACTTCCATGTAGAATATCAAGTTATTAGGATTGAAGAAGCACTTTTATAAGTTTCTCCAAATTGGAGCAAGAAGAACCACTTGCACTTTTAGCAGCTTCTCCAGCCTTGTTTTTCCAATACAAGCTTTTACTCTTCATATCTTCACCTTTCTCCCCAACCATTAACTCTCTAACAAGGCTCTCAACTTCATCCCTCTTGACATTGTTGTCGATTTCCATGCCGATTCCCCATTGAGTTCGACAAGCCCAGCAATTGGTTTGTTGATCAGCGAAAAATGGCCAGCAAATCATAGGCACACCATAGCTAATACTTTCAAGGGTTGAATTCCATCCATTATGAGTCAAAAACCCTCCAACAGATTTGTGCTTAAGAACTTGTTCTTGAGGACACCAACGGACTAATAATCCTCTTTCTTTGACTTCCTCCAAGAATTCAGGAGGAAGAATCGCGGAATCACCCGAAACAAGATCCGGCCTAATGATCCATAAAAATGATGTTTGACTATTTGCAAGCCCCCAAGCAAACTCCACAAGTTGTTCAAATGTCATGACAGTGATGCTCCCAAAGTTGACATAAACAACTGATTTGGGATCTTTCCTGTCAAGCCAATCAAGGCATTCTGGTTCTTCTTTCCAGAGATTTGACCCTAAGACAGCTAAAGTTTCATCCTCATCATTTACCTGTTCTTCCAGCAGATTTAGTGGCCCAATGGTGTAAATAGGAGGATAAATAGTTGAAAGTGGATCAAGAAAATCTTGCTCGAGTTCATCAAATGTGTTTAGAATGACCGCAGCCGCCTTATGGGATGATCCCGTTGCCTGAAGTGTGATTTTCACCATGATATCATCTGGATCAGTAGTTCTAATGGAACTTGGAAGATCTCTCAACCGTATATTTTTCATCCCCGGCATCCAATCCAAAGTTTGGTCAAGATACCCATTTGTCAAATAGCTGGCATCTGCAAAGTAACAAGTTCAATAGTCCACTAACAACAGAACCAATAAAGTACTAATGGGTACAACAAGGTCAGAGATAAAGGACAAATGGTGTGATTTCCTCAGGAAAAGGAAAGCTCTATGAATACTATACCTTTGATTGGTATGATGCCCTTCTCAATGAAGACAGAAAAGTGGCCATAAGCCAAAGATGCACAAGCACTTGAGCACCAAAATAAGACCTCAGGGATTCCCAACTCTTCGGCAGCTTCAAGGGTGAAGCTCATGGCCACATCAGAAACAATGCAACTAACTGGTGGATTCAGTTTTGCAAGAAGATCCTTAAAAGGGCCAATACAATTTGTAGAAATGGATTGGGTAAGGGATGGAATATCTTGAGTGGCATCAACATCATCTGATGGAGGAAGTCCATCTGGTATGGTTTTGAATTGGAAAGAAGGCAAGCCATTTAAAGAATCTGGACCTCTGGATTTGAGTAAGCGTTTGTGGTTGAATTCAGTGTTGATAAAAGTGATATGGAAACCTTTGTGATGAAGAATCTTTGCTAGTTTCAGCATAGGATTTATGTGTCCTTGTGCTGGATATGGAATGCAAACAACATGAGGTTTTTCTTTCGGAGAAGACATTAATCCCGTTTTCCCCTCCATCTCTCTTCTCTAAAAAATTTTCTGATGAAACTAAACGTAAGGTGGAAATTGGGGATGTATAAGGTCAATGCTTGTTCTAGATCAGTATTTGCTATTTAGTACTCCGTTTGTCTAAAAAAGATTGTCGACAAATTGAACAATTGGACAGAAGGCGTGTTATGTTTATAGTTTACTATTTACATGCACTTGCATTTTCACGAAATCTTTATGGTATATGTATGGTTGATTAATTGATTTAGTGAGGGAATCAATATTAATATAATATACGTGGTTGAATAGTACAATTAGCATCTATTTCTGATTCCGAAAAAAATTACTCCCTCCGTCCTAAAATAATTTTCCAGTTTGGGTTTTCATTTCTAGTATAAATTGTACTAAAAGTTAAAATTTAAATTGGATAATAATTTCGGAATAGAGGAAATAGTATTGACTAAGACAAGAGAGGTAAGTATACTTGACTCTTCAGTTCACATGGATTGAAGACACAACACTAATTAAATTATTGAAGTAGTAACAAAAACCCTCTTTCCTTCAACTTTCCTCACTTGTGCAACCACGCGAATTGGGGGAAGTTCAGAATGCTTAGTTAATTGAAGCTGTTAGTCAACAATTTTAGAGTTCCGTGATTGATGATGATTGGTTCTCTTTTTACTAAACAAATGCAACTGGGGATGGAATTTATTTAGGCCTTTTAATTTGGCAATATATTCTTTCCTCCCATACCCCCTTAAAAAAGGGGGGAAAGAGGGGGAGAAGAAGAAGATCAAAACAAATTAATCAAATTGTAAAAATTCATTATCAAAACAAAATTAAGATACACTAAATAAAGCTTTTATTTAATAGAATCTGCCGGGTTGACCAAAACTGTGCATTGAACCTGGATAATCTTAGCTCTCCGGAGATTATCGTTTCTTAATTGGAACCGATATTGTGTGGATATGGTTTACTTTGAATATTTAGGAATACACATCACACATAGCTTATTATTGATGAACTTTTTCTAATAGCTGATCATATTACGACATAAAAAATTAGCTGTCCGAGTAAAATTAAATTGTTGTTTCTAAAATAACTTTAGTGGGTCAAGCCATTCTTCTTTCTCATCGTTTCGGATCCTTATCTTCTCGTTGACATATTTGATTTAATTCTGCCTAATTCTTCTTCTTTACTATTCCTTTCTCTCTCCCTCTCTCCCAATCTATCACAATCTACATATACCAGCATAATTGATACTAGATGCTTGGTCCGGACGGATGCCGGGCGAGCCCCTAAATATTTATATTGCCGCTAAATATTATATATGTTGTGAATATGTATTTATATAATTGCTCTGAATGAATGTTCGGGGACTGCCTGTGTTTCAGAGTAAGATGATGTAGAATTTTGTGCCTGTAAACAACGATCCTAATTGGTATAAATAATCTTTGTTCTTAACCCTGTACATGTCCGACAGCTAATAACAAATTGCAGATATACTCAAAATATCAGGATATTAAATCATCTAGTTATCAATATTTAAATAAAATGACTTCCTAAGTTCCCTAACAAACCTCCAGCTACTCTTCCAAGTCAAATCAATACGAATAACCACATCTCAGAAGAAATTTGGGAAACAAATTTTCATGGACGTGTTGATTTATGCTTTTCTTTGTACATTTGACAAAATAATTAGAAGTAGGGGATTACTGCATAAATAAATACACAAATCTTGCTTGATAAATGAATGGGGATAATAATCTACAAATTGAAGTACAAACAGAGTCAGAGTCAACATTAGACCCATCGCTCCTCTGCCGTTGAATCTTCCGACATAATCTCGATTTAAGATTGTTCACTGCATGCTCAACCTCAAGCTCCCGGGCGCTTGACCTGTTTTTTTCATCTCTCATTTTATTCTATAATTAAACACCTACTGATGCGATAATTTAGATTACAAATACATGTGTTCGAACCTACAGAAATTAATTTTGTTATAAAAAACAAAGGTATCAAGTTAAGAGGAGATGGACTGTGCATAAGAGGCCATACAATAAACACATAAAGAACATGACAGAGTGTAACTAAGTATGACAGGGTATAACTAAACATAGAACATGCCAAGCTAAGAGGAAAACCTGATCGAATTCTTGGAGTATACCCCTATTTCTTGCCAATTTGTGATTAACTGAAGTAGTAGAGGCAGCAGACGCTACACATTGGTTCATTGAATTATTTACATCCAACAGCTTTTTAAGCAAAGATTGAATCTCCATTTTCATGAATTTTCACGACCTGCTGGTCCCTTTGTTTGTAAACCACCAATCTGCACAGAAACTATTTCAACAGAAGATGATTACAATGTGCTAGTTACCAATTTCAATAAAACGGATGAACTAAAAGCATGGATTGAAATTTAGGTTAACTCAATCGCAATACAAATCTAAGAAAATGAATAAAACTTCAGCAAATTCAATCAACATAGAAACTGTACCTCCTCCTTGGCTAACAACCCCCGACTGCTAATATTCATACTTTGTTGTTACAGCCGCCGGTCGGACACATCTTGTTGCTACAAAATCTACTTGTTTTTCTGTTTCTTAAGCTCACGACATCATTAACTTGTCAACCGCTCCGTATCCTCACTTCGACATTTTGTTTGTATCACCGTGAAACTTTAATGAAGGAAAAGACTTTATCAGTATATTTTATTTGTTGAAGATCACTGCATCGACTCCTTTATTCCTAGCTATTTTCAGCTTCAAGATCATCAGCGGCTTCATCCGTTATATTTTTCATAACTTCCAAATTAGTCCCATTACGTTGCCAAAATGATACCGCAAAGGGAATTTTCAAGCAATTAAAAAGCCCAATAGTAGAGCAAGTACAACACCTCAGTAGGAAGTTTATCAAAGAGGTATAAGAAAATTGTGAGAAAATCAATATAGGAATAAGATGTAACAAAAAAGACTATCGCATCCCCGTGGAAGAAATAAATAATAAGAAAAAATGTGCAACAATTTTATAAATTACATAACCATTTAAATCGCACAAATAATCCAATTAGTTTCATCTTCCTTCCTCCTAATTGAATCAATAAAGAAAACCCAACAAAGTACCAACCAAATAAACTACAATATTTCAAGTGTATAATCTCGGAAGAAATGTGAATACAACTACATTCTCAAAAAATAGCATCCCCATTACACAAAACAGCAAAACAAAACAATGATAAGTAGAATTTTTTTTTATTTTTTTATTTTTTTTATTTTTTGGCTTTTACCTCAATGGCTTTGCTGGGGGCAACTCTGATCACATTAACCAAATTGCACTGAAACAATCCTTTCCAACCATCATGCTTCATTATACTATTAAATACCTCACTAACAGAATGGCAGCTACTCCCAACCCTCAAATGAGTTCTTACTCTTTCTGATGGTGGTACAACAGTTCTGGAAGCTGCACCTAAATGTAGGATTTTCAATATTAACCTTGAATTTCATCCCACCTTTTTCTTCTTAACCCCAAATTCCTCAGGTGATGATGAATATTTCACATTAAAATCAGTTTATGGTAACTTAAAAACTTCTTTTTTTCTGTTTTTGGAATTTTTATTTGGGGGAGAAGAATTTCGGGCAACACGAACTCCCATGTTCTTCCCCATTTGGCCCACATATGCAAAGAGACCACCAACTCCAGGATGGTAAATTTCATGCTTGCAATCATCAGCTATTGGGAGTAACTTACATTGAAACAAACCTAATTGAGAATTTGGCCATATATATATATATGTATATATATATTCATAAGGCTAACCCGACACCAAAACAAACAGCTACAATACCTTGATTGATTTGCCGACCCCAAGTGAATCCGCTCGATTCATCCATAAATGTGAAGCAAATGAATTATGAAAGCACCCTAGACAAAGAAACCTATGATCTCAGATAGACAAACTCTGTTAATCCCAAATCAGGAATCTGAAAAATAAAAATCACTCTTACAACATGCGAATTGCAATTATGAAAGCAACTGGACTGAGCATGGACGGAGGCACTTACCGAAATCTAAAATCCTTGCCCTCTGAAATCGATCGAATGGAAGAGATCCTTTGAGAGGCCAAGCAGAAAGCGGATTTTTTTTTTATGGCGATTGGCAACTTCAAGTGATCGAATAGATGAGATTCTTTTGAATTGGAACAGATCACGTTGGTTTAGAGATTTTTAGGGGCTTGATCTGCGTATTAACATTACATTAGGAAGAGGATTCTTGATTTCAAAAAAAAAAGGAACAGGATTTTGATTTCAAAAAAAAGGAAGAGGATTCTGAGTATGAAATCAGGAGCATAATCTACACGTCTGTTTATTAGGGAATTATCTCTTACTATCTCTCAATATAATTGTTACATATTTAGGCCCCTTTTAAATTTTACCCATTGTTTTACTCATTATCCTACTATATTAGAAACAAAAACCTCCCTTTCAAACACCTCATATGATTGCCACGTGGCACGTAGAAAATACTAAATTGCCCTTTTTTGTCTAACCATAACTAAATTACTAAATCTCCCTTTGCACTTTACGTGACACGTTTTTTTTTTTTTAATTTTTTCTTTATGCTTCATTCAACTAGAGTGGTTTTTTAAATTGAATTGATCAATTAGGTTTTTTGTTACAAAGTGTCAATTTTGTTTTAAGAGTATACCCTTCGGATGAAGCTTATTACAAAGCTATTAAAAATCTCCAAAACTAAGTATTGATTTGGCACGACCAATGGAGAACGTCAATAAATCATCTTACTAATATTTAAATTTATTAGGATGCTTTTATATTTTATCTAACATTTACTTCAACACATATATTCGATTAAGCTATTTATATTTAATAAGTAACACTTATAAAACATTTCTAAAACATACATGGGGAAATACAATTTTTTTTTTTTTTTTGCGAAATACAAATATTTCTATGATCACACTTATAAAACATTTCTAAATCCTTCAAACATTTCTAAAATATATCGCTCTAAATACAAAATTTTATTTTTTTCAAATATAAACATTTCTAAGATCTACAGATAGACTGGGCCAGGGTCGCGCATTGCGCGACCAGACATCACTAGTCTTATTTATATTTAAATACTGCTTTCCTTATTATCTGATCATAATTAGATGGTTTTTTTTTTGTTTTTTGGGGG